TAAACAACATTATTGCTCTTTTCACTCTCCTGCCCCAAGAAACAAAAAGTATTTGTATTTGATAAGATTTATAGTAATTATGTTCTGTTTGCTTTAGTTTTTGTTTATTTATCTCTCATATATTATTCAATTTATCTGTGTCTACCATTTAAATCAATCTGAAGGAATTCAGGTATAGATACAACTTTATTGGAACAAGTGCAAACTTATGATGTAACTGTTGCTAGTAGATAAGTCTTTCATTGGACTTATTTCATGTCTCAAGAGAAAGTAGGAAGAAAGAGTTTTGCTTATATGCAGTCTTTCATCTAGGTAAATTATCAGGTGTTCTGAAGTGCTTTTTAGGGAAAGATACCATGCAGGATGTGTAACCAAAACCTTAGAATGGCTCTTTTGCTGATCCTCATGTTAAAATTCTCTTATCAAAAGGGAGCTTTGTAACTTATAGATTCACTCCACTTATTTTGGTATTTTTCTTTTAAAAATGTACAAATATATGTGAAAATAATAAGTCATCAAAAATGGTCAACAGACACATAGAAAAATGCTCAGCATCAATTAGCATCAGGGAAATGCAAAACCACATTGAGATATCATGTCACCCCAGTTAGATTGGCTTCTTCTTTTTTTTTTGTCTTTTTCGTGACCGGTAAGGGGATTGCAACCCTTGGCTTGGTGTCGCCTGCACCGCGCTCAGCCAGTGATCACACCGGCCATTCCCATATAGGATCCGAACCCGCGGTGGGAGCATCACTGTGCCCCCAGCGCCACACTCTCCCGAGTGCGCCACGGGGCCGGCCCTAGATTGGCTTTTATCAAAAAGACAAAGAATAACAAATGCTGGCAAGGATGCAGAGAAAGGAGTATCCTCCTGCACTGTTGGTGGGTCTATAAATTGGTGAAGCCATTAAGGAAAATGGTATGGAGATTCCTAAAACAACTACAGATAGAACTGCATTACAACCCAGCAATTGCAGTGCTGGGTATATGTCCAATGGAATGGAAAACATCATGTCAAAGGGATACTTGCACTCCCATGTTTACCACAGCTCTATTTACAATAGCTCAGATATGGAACAAACCTAAATGTCCATCATTGGATGACTAGATAAGGAAAATGTGGTATATTTACACAATGGAACACTACTCTGCTGTAAAAAAGAATGAAATACTGCCATTTGCAGCAACATGGATGAACTTAATAAAAATTGTGATAAGTGAAATAAGCAAGGCACAGAAAAAGAAATACTTCATGTTCTCACTCCTAAGTGGGAGCTAAAAAAATAAACTAATAAATTTTTAAAAGGAAAGATACAACAATCATAATAATATGTTGAATTCTCAAAAGGAGAAAACCTGAGGTTACCAGAGGTGGGCAAGGGGGAGTGGAAAGGGAGTTAGGGAGGAATTGGTAAAGGGCCATGAAAAACAAATTGTATAATGTTGATTATGTTAATTACCCTAATTTGAGCATTCCATATTGCACACAGGTGTTAATATTCAACTCTGTACCCCACAGGTATGCACAATCAACTATGGCTCAATTTAAATAAATAAATAAATGATAACATTTTAAAAAAAAAAGTTCTTTTCCCCTAGCTAACTGGATAATAATATAAATTATTCACTTAAATATTTACAACTCAACTGCCAGTATTTCTGCTATTTTAAGATTATAGATCTCTCCTATTTTATCTGCTAAATAAATATCTAACACTGCATCCTCATTCTCACAGTTATAATCACTTCAAGCACTTTTTCCTAAAATATTTCAACAGTCTCTAAATTGGTTGCCCTTCCAGGGTCTTTCATTTTTCCATACTGTTGTCAAATCTAATAACAGCATTCTATCAACTAAACACCCTCAATAGCTCCCTATGACCTAAGGGACAAATCCCAAATTACTTAGCATACAAGGCTTGTCACAATCTGGCCCCAATTTGTCTTTGTTCATCCAATGTCATTATCTCCCTCTTATACAACTTCCCATCATAGCCGAATTGTGTAAATCCCATGCTATTTCAAGATTCTATCACATCTTTACACATGCCATTCCCTATGTGAGAAGAATTCTTTCTATATTTTCCTTAAATGGAGAGGTTTTACTAAATCTCTTAAGCTGCTCAAAGATCTCACTTCAGCAAAGGTTTTCCTACTCCTGCCCACATTTTTGCAATATTTTGAATGTACCTCTAATCCCAATCTAATTTACGTCTTTACCTGCATATAAGTTTTTCCCAATGAACTGTGCTTTGGTGACAAAGACTTATTCATCTTTATAAGACTAGGGTTTAGCATAATGCATAGCACAGAAAGATCAGTAAGTGTTTGCTGAATGAATGGATGGATGAATGGGCAGAAATAAAGGGAAGAAATCAGAGAAATTTTAAAATGAACCAATGAAGATGCAATTTGAAAATAAACTGTCTGACTCAGTCATCCAGTAGCATGCATGGTATTTTATTGTATTATTGTATTATATTATGTTATTATTGTAGCAAAACCCAGTAGACTGATTATATATATATATATATATATGTATATATACATACAGGAATTAGAGAGAGGTTCATGTGACTAAGATTGCATCTAAATATTCCTAAGCTAATAAATTGACTAATTATTTTTTTGATTTTTTTAGTTTAATTTTGCAATGTGGTGCTTGGACTTGGTAGGAAGGTGAGTTGGGGTAGAGGAAGTAGGAGAGAAAGAGGTAAAAAAATTCTCAAGTAAAATGCAAGTCACATGTATTGTGGAGGTAATCGGATCTTTTGTTTAGGGCACAGAATTTAGAAACTTCAGAGGTTCTTGGGATGAACAAATCATAATAAAATAATTCTTACATGAAATTACTGTGTGGTTTAAATCAGTATATGTTTGGGCAAATTTTTTTTTTTAAACCACAAAGTTTTATTCAAAAGTTAACTTTTCTCCATTTTAATTTAACTTTTCAAAAAGAGCCATTATTCTCAATTTCCCATACATTCGTCATATTTTCAAATTACTTTGTCGTGACTGGCATTCCATCTGATGAGTTTGGACTCCAGTTTTAACAAATAAAATAAATGAGAATAATGAATGCTGGTCTAGTTAAAAGAAAAATGATGTTACTGACTTAACTAACAAGAAAGTTAATGAAATAAAAAGTGTCATTTTCTGCCTGCACTTATGCAACTAGGAAACCACAGCGTTCTCTATGGGGCAAATGTAAGGAGTAGAATAATCTAATTCTTTACAAACATGGAAAATAAATGGCTCTTTCTTTTATTGCATGTGGAGTTGGCATAATTCAGGTTGGCTACGATTAGTACCTCATTAGTAAATACCAGATAATTATTGGTCTGCATTCAGGTATTGGCAGATGTCTGATAAGGCACTTAATGAATTTTTCATTAGTCTTTCTGAGAAAAACTTCAGTAGAAAACATTTTGAAAGCAGCAACCCTTTCACTTTCCTTTTCTCTGCACTTGAGCCTTAAGGTATTTTCAAAATCAAATTTTAAAATTTTAATAAGATCATAACTATCTTTCAGTCAAATATTTTACTCTTTAATAAATTTAGTACAATTTTTCCCTGCTACATATTTTTCTCTACCCAAAGTCACCACCAATACCATGACTGTAACATACTTCTTTTATATGCATTTAATTTTGTTTTAAGTTTTTGACAGCATTAGTCACAAAAATATGTGACATAATTTTTTAATAATAAGCAGGGGATGGAGTTAATAGTTTCTAATAGACCTAACATTTTTTAACTATAATTTTTGCTATTCAAACACCAAAGATGCAAATGAAAAACAGTCAAATATTTGATGCTGCAATATATTTTTAAATGATTATCTATATAACCAAAATTTGTGTAAATGTATCATATAGTAAAATCTTAGCACCAAGTAATACACGTTCAAACCAACCCGAACTTTATATGAATGTTAAAAATGGACAAGTTCATGGTTACATAGGGAAGATACTGATTACCACAAGAAAACTTTCAATTATATCATCCACGAATGATGCAAAACATTTCATTATTTACTCTTTGGGGGAGATATAACTTCTGAATGCTAAATGTGATTTTGATTTGTCAACATTACTTTTGCTGTAATTAAAATCCTAAAGTGATCTTTAAATAATTCTTCACTCAAATTGCATCCTGATGAACTTTTTTAATCTCCATAATTGGAATGTCAACACCTAAGTAAGCAACTCAACCAGCTACACTTGTCATACCTCAATGACCTTACACTTTAAAAATCACCTCTAATTTTAGTTAGAGGGACACGTTTGTTTAAACATTAACCAAGAGGGACTTAGATAAATTATAAAGTGGTGTGACTTCAGTGCCTTTAACCTTTTTTTTTTTTTTTCTTTTTAAATTCAGGGCTTCATCTTTCTCAGGACACCACACTGGCAAATATTTGCAGGGTCTCATCTGACAAATAACAATGATCTTCACTTCCTCACTATTTCTCCTTATTCCCTCCTCTGGGGGATTCATCTTAAGCTAAATGCCAACAAGAAAGCAACCTAATATGCTAAGCCATACTAATATGTAGGCTTTATTTCGGATCTCTGTATAAAACTTGCATTTAAGAGATGTTTGGAAATACTACCTGATAACAGAGGTGACATTAGGTCACTAAAGATCAATGAAAATTGATTTCTCTTTTTTAGTCAGGAAAAAAATCTAATCTTTAAAAAGCTACCTGCATTTAAAATATTTTGGTGAGTTCATTTGTGGTTTCCATTATATCCATGTCATGTTTATATAGTTAAAGAAAACATTGAGTGTGAAAATAACTACTATACATAAGTTATATAATTTCTGAATGAATATAGCTAATTCTAATTTATCAATAATGTCATAAAGGAGTATAATAATGTAGCATTAAAATAAGAAAAGTGTTCGATAAAAGTACATAAAATAAATATATATCTTTTTAAATGAATATTTCTTGCACTAGTAAAATACTGAATGCTTTCTGCCACAAGACCAACCTTTGTGTCTATGAGATCCATCCATGTTGCTAAATTCAATGTGATTTTCATCAGCCCAGTAGAGTCTATGGTTGACATAATCTATTGTTAATGCCATAGGTCTAGAAATCTTGGTTTCTATGACAACGCTCTGATTGGTTCCATCCATTCCAACACGGCCAATGTGAGGATATTCACAGCAGTCAATCCAATACAAATACCTAAGAAAGAAAATCAATAGCCGTTTTGTTTAGAGGCACTCTGGTAGCAAAACATCACACAATATTTCACTTATTTGCTCAACTGTTCCCAAATTAATTTTTGGTATCTCTCTGAACTGTAACTTCTAAGAAGCATATTTCAATGCAAATTTTTCTTATGATTTTTTTATTTATTAAACATGTAGTATGGTTTAAAGTATCCATATAATTTTAAACATGTTTCCTGTAGTATAAAAACTCAAATATATAATAAGATATTTTTACAAGTATTAACAAATTATAGATGTCCAAAATTAACAGTTGTAAACTTTCAAAAGGCATCTATAATGTTGGAAAGATAAAAGTATCTATCTATCTATATTTTTTTCTTTTAGTTTACTATCTATGTAAAATTTAAAAAAAAAACTCTCAGAGGTATATATTTCATTTGTTTAAATAGGCATTGTTCAATGTGGTAGCTACTAGCCAACTATGATTAAAGTTTAAACAAAACAAAATCAAATAAAATTAAATGAACTGGATTGTTCCTCAGTCACACTAGCCACATTTTAAGTGCACAACAATCGCATATGTCTAGAGACTATCATATCTAACAGGATAGATACAGAGTACTTTGGTCATCACAGAAAGTTCTCCTGATCAGCATGATTTAAATTACGTTATTGTAGGCAAGGAACAGAGCACACTTGGAGTCCTAGGCAGGATCCAAGGGCAGTCTCCTTCACCCAGAAGCAGACAAGGAGCACACCAAAATCCCACTTCCATGCAGGTGGCCACCACAGCCACCATCACAGCCACAGCTGCTGCAAAAGTGGCTCAACACTACAGCAGAAGCCACAGGCACTATGCAAGGGCCAGTCAGACACTGGACTGTAGTGACACAAGGAAAGTCACCAGCAGAGACCAGAAAAAGAAGAGTATGTCTCTCTCCTCTGAACCCACTACAGAGTAAAAGAAGAAGCGACTGTTCTTCCATGCCCCTGCTTTACTTCTCATTTTAGTAATTTCGGTCTTCTCTCTTTTTTCTTGGTCAGTCCAGATAAAGGTTTGCAAGTTTTGTAAATCTTTTTTTTTTTTTTTCGTGTGACCGGTAAGGGGATCGCAACCCTTGGCTTGGTGTCGCCCGTACCGCACTCAGCCAGTGAGCGCACTGGCCATCCCTATATAGGACCCGAACCCGCGGCAGGAGGCCAGCGCCGCACTCTCTCGAGTGTGCCACGGGGTCGGCCCTTTGTAAATCTTTTTAAAGAATCAATGTTTGGTTCTGATGATCTTCTCCATTGTTTTTTAATTCCCTATTTCATATATTTCTGTTTTGATCTCTGTTATTTCCTACTTGTATTTGCTTTTGCTTTACTTTGCTCCTTTTCCTATTTTCTTAAGGTAGAAGTTTATATTACTGACTTGAGATTTTTCTTATTTTCAGTATAGTTGTTTACAAATATAAATTTTCCTCTAAGCACTGCATTTGCCCTGCATCCTGTAAATTTTGATATGTTGTGATTTGATTTTTATCTCAATGTACTCTCTTACTTCCCTGTGATTTTTCTTTTTACCCATTGTTTATTTAGGAGAGTGTTGTTTAATTACCACACACCTGTGAGTTTTCTAAATTTCCTTCTGTTATTTTGGTCAGAGAACATATTTTCTATGATCTTAGTCTTTTTAAATGTATTAAGACTTGTTTTGTAGCCAAAATTAAATTAAATTAAATAAATTACATTATTGGAAATCTTAGAGCAAGACATTTCAGTACCACACTCAGCCAGTGAGTGAACCGGCCATCCCTATATGGGATCCGAACCCGGGGCCTTGGTGTTATCAGCACCGCACTCTCCCGAGTGAGCCACGGGCCGGCCCAGAGCAAGACATTTCAGACAGTAGGGGGAAAACAGTAAAATGAAGACAATAATGTCGATATTAATACTAAATATTCATATTAGGTTGAGTTAAATATAAATATTGCACCCTATAAAATGAAAATAATGTATAAGTAATAGATTGCTTAGAAATTTCATTCTATATAATTAAGCCTTTTTTATCCTAAAAGTAGGAAACTCACTTTTTCTTTTTAGATATGTTTCCTTATCTATATAACTGAACACTTAAAATAGAGAAACTTTAATGTCCTTTTCGTATTCCAACTCTGAAATTAAAATCTATTAACCCAATTAGTTTTTCTAGACTTCATCCTTCCTTTTTACTAAATATAATCCCTGGCAATTTATTATTCAGATTTGGAAGATGTGTAATTAAAATGATATGGCATGAAAATTATTCTAAATGGTTTAAAAACTGGTATATTGGTTTAGATTTTAAATATTCCTTAACAATTTTTTCACATAAATGTAGACAGAGATAATTATGTACAGATATTTTAACCACACACTAGAAAAGAAATAAAGGTTTTCAGAAAAAAACAAAACAAACAACAACAAAAAAACCACATCAAACACAGGGCTAACACAAGTAATCATTGTAAAGAACGTGCATTTTTTGTTGTTGTTGACAATCATTTTTTGGGTATGTATAAATGCATGAATTATAATAAAAAGGTACTTTGGGAGCCAAAATATCATTGCAGTCTTAATTAAGCATGGTGCTTAAAAAGAGAAAAGTATTTCTGATAAGGACTAAACAAAAGGTAAAATTTTGTAAGCAGAGATTCAAACAGAGCTCTGAGAGTCAAAACTATAAACAAACAAGACTGGAAATAATACCATGCCAACTTACACAGGGCAATTGCATCTGTGTTTCTCTATTAATTCTGAACATACTTCGAAAATCTTAAATCATCAAGTAATAATAGATGGCAAGCCTTTCAGAATATGATGTTGTCATTTTTTTATCTTGAATTATTTTTTGTATATTTTTCTTTTGAAAAGCAAAATTTCACTTATGTCAGTGAAATACATTTTCTGGAAATTTATTTACAATCCTTTTCTCTCTGTTAAATTTATGGAGGTGCACCTTGCTGTCTATACTAGAGATAATAGCTGTATAGATACAAAAGAAGAAACTGGATAAAAAGAAGTAAAAATGAAAAGATAGTTTACCTTGTTGAAATAAATCAGAACATTTGTCCTTGTCTTACTGACCCCTGAATCTTGGGAACACCAACGTACTACATTTTTTTCTGATAAATGTAATATGCTCATGCCAGCTTCTTGCACACGTATTAAATTTGATCAAATTTAATTGTGCTTTTGTATGCCATGTTATCTTTAAGAATTGTCCATAAGCAAATAAAAATATTAAAGCAGTATTTTAATGATTTTTGTAACATTAAAAAGACATAGCCAAATTGATTTCGACAATCTTTTAGTTCTATTTAGGTATTTACTCTACATGTGCTTGCATTTGCAATTAAAATATCACCAAAGTGAAAAAAAGTTTTCTCCATTAAATGCTATTAACAAAAAAATTGCA